TCCTGCACTGCTTGAGTGTAAAACAGATCCCTGAGCATCCCTGGTGTGGAATAACCCACGGGTTGGTGTCACTTGATACCACCAGTGGGATTAAATGCCATTTCCTGCTCCTGCCTGGCATTAAATCCCACCTGGAAGGGCACAGACWCCTGTGTCYCCTCTTTTGGGWGGGRCASAGCAGGAGGAGCCCAGCTGGAATAACCAGCTGTGCCAGGCTCCTGCCAGCACCGGGATGGGCATGGACAGGGGATGTCCCTGTGCCCCCTGGCGCTGTCCCCAGCACGGCTCTCTCCTCTTACAGCCCGAGATGATTGGCCACTACCTGGGCGAGTTTTCCATCACGTACAAGCCGGTGAAGCACGGCCGGCCTGGCATCGGTGCCACCCACTCSTCCCGCTTCATCCCGCTCAAGTAACACTGGGAGGGAGCCTCGTTCAGTGTAAATAAAGAAATTCCACCTGGATCCGTCTGTCTCCTTCTTCTCCATTCCCGGGGGAGGGGTTGGAGCGTGCTAAACCTGTCATTCCACCGTGACTGGGTGTTTTCCTCAGTATTCCCAGGTTTTTGGCACTGCTTTCTGTCTGCACCTGCAGCAAACGCTCATTTTGATGTGGGTTTAGCAAATGAGTGAAATTCCTTGTTCTTTGCTGTGAAGAGGAGGATGGCACTTCCATATTTCCACTTATTTAACTTTATTTGTTARTATAAACACTGGGAATGCAGAAATGTGGAATTGGGGGTTCCCAGGCTCAGAATCAGCCCTGCTCCCAGGAGAAGCTGCCTAAGTCCATCATGAGATGTCAAAATCCCAAAACATTATTTTTTCGTCTTAAATTTGGGATCCCAAAGGATTTTGGTGCCTGGGATCACAGAGTGGCCGTGGGTGTGGGGTGAACTGGGGGCATTGCMGCTCAGGCTGGGAGGGAGGGGTGTGTTTTGAGGGAGAAACCTCTCGGGAATGAGGGGGATGATGGTGAGGAAGAGGGGAGGTGTGAAGCTGATCCCACGTGGGTGACCTGGTTTGTCCCTGGACTGAGCCTGAGGAACCCAATGCCTGTCACCAGAGCCAAGGCCATCGCTGGAGRGACCATTTGTCCCCAGGGTGGTCCTGGCTTGTCCCTGCTGCTGGATTGGGTCCCTTGGGGATCCCTCAGGGGTCCCTCGGTGCCCAGCTCCAGCCTTCAGGGTCTCACACCCCCTCAGCCCATTCCCCCTTGCACTCCCGGTGGTGCCAGGGCCCTTTGTCCTTTAGGGAAGGTTCCCTTGTCCCTGGGTCCGTTTTTGTTCAAGCAGCGTGACCTTGAGAGTCCTCATCCCACTCCTGCTGGTGGCAGSGGGGAGAAGAGGGCGGGGGTCCCTGTGTCCTGCTGGGGCCGTTTGGGGACCCTCAGCGATGCCCGGGGAGGCTGGGAGATGGGTGACAATGACCTCGGTGGGTGACATTGGCCTGAGCACATGGCAGAGGCCACAGTCACGGGAGGGGTGGRTTATAGAGGGGTCATCGTGGGGGTCCCGCTCATCCCGGGGGGACCCCGGGCTCAGCCGGTGCTGCCGCACCCTGGGGCGGGTCCCCAAGGACACGGGGATGGCCCTGGCCGGCTTTGCGGGGACAGGCTCGATCGGGGGATGCGGTTCTGTCCGTAGGGACCGGTCCGGTCTGGAGGAACCGGTTCTGTTTGTAGGGACCGGTTCTGTCTGTAGGAACCGGTTCGGTCTGTAGGAACCGGTTCTGTCTGTAGGGACCGGTTCGGTCCGGAGGGGCCGGTTCGGTCCGGAGGGGCCGCTCCGGTGTGTAGGGACCGGTCCGGTCGGGAGCGGCAGGTGCATCCCCGGGACATGGGGACGGGGGAGATCCCGGCGTTTCATCGAAGGTTGGAAAAGAGGCGGATGGAGGGGAACGGAGCCCTCCCCGGGGGTCCCGTCCCCCCGAGCCCGGCACAGCCCGGGGGGGGGCGCGGGGAGCCCCCGGTGCCGCCCTCTAACGGCGGCGGCGCCGCTGGAAAATCCCGACCGGGAGCGGGGGGGCGGGGGCGGGATGCGGCTGCTCGGGGCCGCGCCGGAGCCTCGCCCAGCTCCGCACCGCCCCGCACCGCCCCGCACCGCTCCGCACCGCCGGGAATGAGGTACGGCCGCACCGGCCCCCCGAGCCCCCGCGCACCCCCCGAGCATCCCGGGGGTCCCGGCGGCTCCGGCCGCTGCAGCCGCCGGGGATGGGGGAGAACGGGGGGAGCTCCGCGGTGGGGCTGGGGATGGATCGGGGTGCGGCGTCGCTTGTGAAGGGTTGGATGGACCGGGGGGGCCCCGATCTGCGCCCCCTCCCCACGGCGGGGTCGCGCCCGGCCCTGGCTGCGCTGGATCCTGCGGCGGGCGCGGCTCCATCCCGCGGGATCGGGGGKATATTGGGGGGATATTGGGGGACAGGAGGGTTTAGGGCGGATCAGGGGGTTCAGGGCGAACCGGGAGGGTCGGGCAGCGTTTATCCCCCGCATCCTGCGGGGACAAAGGCCGGACAATGCCGGAGCTCGGCGGGGAGTCCCCCGGCGGGGGGGTGGAAAGGGAACAGCGCTGCCCGTCCTCATCCTCACCTTCACCCCCATCCCACCCCCATCCCCACAGAGGGGTCCCCACTGGGGTGACAGCAGCTCCCCCACCCCGATGCGAGCTCGGCCCCCCCCGGACCCCCCTTCCCGATGCCTCCCCAAGGCGGCTGGGCCGCGGATTGACGCTGAGCCGGAATTTGGAACCCCAAAACCGCACCCAAACCTCACCCCAAACCCTCCCCACAAACCCTCCCCACAAATCCACCTCCCAAACCGGTCCCTCAAAAACCTCGGCCTCCCTGCCAGCACCTCGACCCCAGCCGGGGAGCACCCCAAGGGTCCCGAGTCACCCCAAGGTGTCCCCAGTCACCCCCGGGTGGAGGTGGGGAAGCGGCTGCTGGCCTGGCCACGTTCCATCCCGGCGGCTCCACGGGCGCCCTGGGGTGTGGGGCGGGTGAGGGGGGCCCTGCATTGTGGGGGGGCTGTGCTGGGGGCGTTGGGGACCCCACCAGGGCCACACATCCATCCCCAGGCCGTGACATGCGTGTGCACATACGTGTGTGTGTGTGTGCAGGTTTGTGCGGGGGGTCGATGCCGTGTGTGGGGAGGGCGGTGGATCCCGAGTCCCCGTGTCCCCGCGTGTGCCCCCACATGTCGAGGGGTCGAGGTGAGGGGTCTGTGCTCCCCAGGGGGGGTTTTGCTGTGGTCKGGGGTCCCCGGGGCCGGGTCGATCAGCCCGAGTTGGTGACAACATTTCTGTTTGTTTAATGTCCCCGGGGGCTCCGGGAGCCGCAGCCGGCCGGGGCTCAGCTGGGGCTCTGGCGAGGTGGCTGCGCTGGGCTGATGGCCGCGGTCCCTGTCCCCAGCCCCATCCCCAGACCTGCCAGGATGGGTGTGGGGAGCTTGGGGTATCCCCAGGGCCCCCCGGACCCTGCCCTGGCCAAGGTGGGTGGGCAGTGCCCGGTGGGTGCTTTGGGCAGGACAATGCGGTGATGAACAATGCAGAGGATGGTGGGGTGGTGGGCAGTGAGGTGGACAGTGAGGYTGGCTGTGGGTGCTGTGGAYAGTGAGGCTGGCWSTGGGCACCRTGGGCAGTGAGGTGGACAGTGGGTGCTGTGGGCAGTGGGGTGGACATTGAGGTTGGCACGGGGCACCGTGGGCAGTGGGGAGGACAGCGGGGTGTGCCCGGCAGCGCAGCTGCTGCTTCATCTGCTGCGGCGTCTGCCCTGCCAGGAATTTGCTGGATGGATCCAGGCCAGTCCTGGGGTGCCCTCAGCAGAGAGGGGCAGATTTTGGGGTCASACAAGGCACACCCAGGACCCCGAGCCATCACATC